CAAACTACTGAGTTAGAAGCTACAGAAAAGATGCCTCGAACAAAGTCGCTTTCTCAGAGCGGGCAGTCGGAGAATGCCAACGTGCTGTCTCTCTTAATTCTCTTCTTAGACGTCTATTGAGCCAGAGACTGCCGCTGACCTGGTAAATACTAACTCGTCTCAGATACCAAGGGACTCATAGCGCATTGGCTCGTTTAACGTCCGCATGCTGGGTTAGATACGCCAGCAAGTAGCAAAAATCCGCAAGCTTTACTCCCTAAGTATTGATGTATGGTGTCTACGAAACACGCACACAAGATAACAGCGTGGTGAAGAATCCTTGAGTCCTTGGTTTTAAATCTACTGATAATAACAACACGCTTCGCGTCTCTGGCGATATTGAGTCAATAGCTCAGGGTATTTAAGGTGTTGGTATTGTCTCCAGAAAATATGCTGAAGGCAATCTACTAGACTGGATATCGGTGAACAACTCTATATATACGGTTCGACTTCAAACCTCAATTAGTGTTAACAAGCATCGTCCGAACACCAAGTGTCTTGTTATCACCTTCCTCTATGATCCTACTGACTGTAGTTTGGAAGGTATCAAAGACAATTACCATCATCGGCTCTTACCCATTCGCCGTGTGGCGAAAATATCACATCGTAACTGTTGCTGGTAAAATGAATGTCCAAAGCCGTGGTCTTTCGAACCACAAATAACATCTGGTGGGGGCGCTTTGGAGTCGATCCACACCGAACGGATAATGACATTCGATTCCTGCAACTGTACGCCGAACACAACCTTTACCTACGCAACACTGCTTTCTAACATAAGCGTTCACACCGCGTCACCTGGAACCCATCGAATTAATCGATAACCTGAACCTAAACTGACCGTATTGCTATCATCCACAGATGGCGCACACCAGTCCAAGAATGTCGGTCAATATAGAGCTCTAGTGCACGCACACCTAACATTCACGCTTCTCACTTCAAAGAACCGTCTACCTATAAAACTTCTCACTTGTAACTTAAACTCGTAGTTACCAATTTAACGATATCATGGTGAACTGGTCCACTAGTTGTTACTGAGGAATGCGATTGGTGAGCCGAACGCTGACTAGAATCATCTCAAGTGTGTCATGAGGTATGCTACTGGCGCATGGTGTACGCTCAATTCGAAACATGCGAACCGCAGATGTACTTCTGAGGCTATCCGAGAGAAATTAAGAATTACCCGGAAAATCCATTATTTCAGCAATTAATCGATTGTTAACGATTATCGCATCGATTTCGAATGTTCTGGAATGTTCTAAGGTCTGCACGTGATCACCAACCTTCCTGAAGATCGGCCAAATCTACAGGGAACACCTAACCTTGGTAGCTGATCTAATTTTAGGCGTCGAAGGTCATGAGGCGACCTATAAATATGACCATGGTCTGCCGCCTTTGAACATCCCCAGTTTGACTGCAGTTAACACGTTATTTTTGACAAGATCGTTCTGACTTTTTTCTTTGTTTGGGGTTGAGGTCGTGCGAAATAGATTAAGTGCGTGCTTCGGAATTACAGCAAGTGAGAAGATTTAACAGAGGCATAGAGCAGTTTGGTCGAAGAGCGGAAACAGATCCCAATGGTTACCGAGTTTCAGCGTGACCGTAACGCCTTGAAATGATGAGTGAGTCTTCGAAGTGAACGAGGACGCTGGTGTGTGGCGAGAGCCCGTAAGATAGAGAAATCCAGTGGAATTAGTAACAGCCGAGTAATATTTCGACTCTCAGTTGGTGAGACAATAGCCAATAAAGATGAAAAGCTGATCTACTCTCAGCCTAGTCGACTAGCCCGATGTGCGGAACACTTTGAAGAGCAGTTCAGCAAACTTGCTGTTACAATTCCGCTTTCTGAATCCCCTGAGCTGAGGATGGAAATTGATGACACACCCACCTGGGAGGGTTTTGAAATGAGATTACCGTGTGAAAATGAAACAAGGTTCCTGGACGCGAAAATTCCCACCCACCTTTGTTAAAAATATAGATGACTCTTGATTGTCGGGTTTAAGAGCACCCAACATGTGTCTTGGAGATGGCTATTATTGATTGGACTTGCCGCCCTTTCGAACACGATTTGGGATACTGAAGAGGTATCTGCAGACTGCCGAACCTCGTGCCCGGCCTCATAAGGTTCGACGAAGTTTGCGCGAATATCATCGAAGTATTAGCCCTCTTTACATTTTTTCCAAACTACTCACGAGTCTCATTGTTCAACGACTTACGGGTCCCGTGAGAGTCGGCAAGCTGGCTCCTGCATTGGTCGTGGTTGCATCGACCACGTAATTGCTCTTCCTCAGTGTAAGAACAAATACACAACTACAAAAGACCGAATGTAGTGTTTTTGCTCGACCTAAAAGACGCCTTCGACTTTGTTGATCGTGCCAGCTTGTCGCACAATCTTTACGTGAAGGACGTGCCTGGAAAACTCCCGAGGCAGAATAAGGGTTTACGATACAAGTGGGATTCGCCAGAGTAACCCGGTATCTGCTTTACACTCAAAGTTTGTGATCGAAATTCTCATAAATAACTCGGTTTTCCAGACATGGGGAGTGAAAGTTCTGCTAAGTGGTCAACTGACAAATTTTGAGTATGCGGTGGGGATATTCCTCCTTGTGTCTCACGCAGCGGCTATGCATGCGTTATTGACTAGACCCACTCGTGGTGCGGCATGGTTTGGTATGTGCTTACGAACTTCAGTGGAAGTTATCGTTACAGAATTGGACCAATACAGCGCCAGTTTTAGCCATCAGCTACTGGAAATATTGGATCGGTTCAATTACCTTGGTAGTCGTGTCACTCCTAGTGGTCACATCTATAAGGTAGTTACTTCGCAAGATCCGTGTGGCATTCCAAAGGCTCACATATCTATGGAAACGATGGGATATCGGCCCGTTAGTAGAAGGTTAGGCGTATAACGTTGTGACAAGGCCAGTGTTATTGTATGGATAAGAAACCTGGCCAGTTCGCAGTGGACATTAAATGATTTGCCGTGTTTGCGAGTATTTTTCACATCTGGTGGAAACACCGAGTGAACAATGCTGAGGTCAAGCCAGTGGTTTCTGGCAAGAAGCCTTCGGGTGCCTCACTCGAGTGTTCGTTGAACTTGTCCTCGGTCAACTCAAGCAGCGCGCCGGTAATCCATACCGACGCCTTGCTGTCGTACGACCAATGGTAGCCGTGTGTGTTAGGGATACCGCAACGTCGTCCGCATCTTTGCAGGAACGAGCCGGTCACGCATGTCGGTGACAAGCAGTTGTCTGAGCCACTAGCTCGACGGTCGACACCTAGAAGATAACAACTGTTTCCTATGATTGGACGTACTGATTAGTCGTAGAGAAACGGTCGCAACAAGAGATCTTTTTACCGAAAACCAAAATGGTCCGGATAGTACCTGCATTTTACAAGCTTCACTCCAATGCAGTACAAACGGACACTAATCAAGACCTTGTTAAATCGTGCGAAAAGTATATGCAGCAGTAATTGCCTGAAAAAGGAACAGAATCTGTTGACTAATGTGCTCTTAATAGACGGTTATCCTCACCGGTTTATTGCAAAACAGCTAGACGAGAGTGGCAAGAGAGAAGGCCTTCATTGTCGCCAAAAAGATCGTTATAAAACTACCGTTTATAGTTGATTTTACCACCATGAGGACAGACAAGCGCATAAGTCCCGCTGTTCATAGGACTTATTATTCTGCCGAAGCTGTCCTTATTAACCGAACCAACAAAGTGCTAGCTGAAAATGTCCCACACGGGTGTAGAGAGCAACAAGGACCGTGCACCCCATCCCCTTCAGCAACGACCAACTGTCTCCTGAAGCCAGTATGAACGAGGTAGTGGGTAATAGATAAGTAGGCACCTTGTCAACATGCACATCAAGCGCAGCCACACCGGGGATATCAAGCAACAGCCATTCACTTGAAACGGAAAGATGAAATAAAATAAATCAAATAATGCGTAGAGATACAGTGACATAACTCTTCGCTAAATTAGCATATGAAGTAAGTTGGTTAGCAACGAATCCGCGATAAGTAAAAAATGTCCACAGGTTACTTAAACAATGCTACAAACGCAATGAAGTTATCGAAACTAAGCGCAATTAGCGTAAGCAACGTGGCCAGTTAATAGAAGATTATTCAGGTAGGCAGAACAAACCAAATAAAGTGGAATGAAATTTATCCAGCTTAAAATGACCTAGTTTAAATATACGTTAGCTTAGCCTAACTGCGGTGAAGAAGCATCATGAATGCAACATCAGCCTCAGCATGGGGAATCATATAAGATTGTGAATAAAGACGGTATTCTCGAAGTAACAAACAGTAAAGAACGCATGGAGGAACTTTGGGGTGACGCAATAGTTAGATTCCACTGGTCACGGCATAGCCGCAGAACTGAACGATCAAATATGTTTGGTCCCTTGTGCTAAACCGCTATCACCTCAATATGGTTACTATTATTATGATTATGTGCTTTTGTAAGCCAGCTCATGTTCGTTGATTTTCTTTCCATTGGTATCTCCCACTAGCATGATTAAATGAATCGAGGCGACCGGATTCACAGGACTCAGATGAGACAGTTGGTGAACTTAGCTGAAATGACGTATGGCAAAGAGCGTGGCGGTCACGGATAGATCGTAGTGAGCATGTCAGAAGCACATTGGTCTTTGCAATATCGTTAGGACATTAGAAAATGTCTAATCAGTATGTACGCGAGGTGAAATCGACAAATAAGCATGAAAGCGCTTGTAGCAAAGGCGAGATGGATTTAACGAGCAACATGTGTTTCATAATAAACTAGCAAGAATGCTGAAGGAAAAGTGAGCGAAGAAAATATTTCCCAACACACATGCAGTGCGCTTACAGAAATAGAAGTTACACGCAATGCAGGTAAACACAGCCCATATTAACGAACACAATATCTACGCAACAAAACAGTAAATGTGAAGTTGGTAACAATCGACAGCGTTCTGACCTGAATATCCGTTCTAACTAGGCCCCGACCTTTTGCGGGAATAACAACCTCTTGAGCCGCGTACAAATCGTAGCCAGCCGCCAGGGCCGAGCCCCGAGTAGGAGTGATCGCGTGTCCGGACAGTTTAGCGAACTTTAAGACTTCGTTATCCGACCGGGCAGAACCATTTGGGAGATGCGGCAAACTGTCCATGGTGAAAATCGCAGCTGAAAACACAATAAGTGACAGAGCACGTGATCGAATGACTGGATAAAATAATACAAGCGCTGAAGGAAGGCAAGGAAGCATCAGCAGTACGCCGCACCAACATTTCATTGCCATGCAACCACCACAAGTCGCGGGTGCGAGGTCACCTAAACATATGGAGACACAAGCCGGTGACCGGGTTACAAACCAGACGTCCTTTCACTCAAGCGCAGACTATAGCAAGAAAGCGATGAGAACATGGACCAACGGTTGAAGAACCCATTCATGGTTTGTCACAACTGACAAGGGATCACAAGTGGATTGGAGATCTGTACGGAAAACAAATAACAGAATACTGGAAAGAGAGGCAAGCAGAAATGTTATCACTTTGCCGGAACATGTGCAGCAATTTTAGGTGTGAACAGTATGTCAAACTAATGCGCAGAATTACAAAGTATTAGTTGGGCAACAATAGCAGGAAGATTGTAGCATCTTCCAATGCGTGCATGTACCCCTGAACCCGCCGAGTCGCTAACTAATTCACCAACAGACCGTTATAGAGTAAGCTGACTAAATGGAGGTGCCGTCCGGAAAGCGGCGTCACTGTCAACAATACATCACCACTTTGCATTGATGTCATGCGACCAGTGTAAGTAAGAAGGAAGAAGAGAAATCAAATACGAAACCTACATTTTGTGCGGGATTATAGAACATACAAGAAGAACAGATACAGAGCGAAGCGAGGTATGCTAAGCAGGCGACGCCAGCAGTTCTATCGATGAACGAATCAAATGAAGGTATCTGGGTGGATTATATGAGTAATTCAGAATCGGTTCAGCGCAACGCATAAAAGCGGCAGCATGTTTGCTCAAAAGAAGTAGATTAGCCTAGAACACAGTGGACGAAAAACAGGCGTGATTCGAAAAATTGGGTTGGCGTGAGCCGGAGATGAAGAGTGAGATAAGGAAACAATGACTGCAAATCGACTGTCCATAGTATAAATGATCACTTCGTTTATGGAAAGCAAATCGGCAATTGATACCCAGGTTTTGTTCAGGCTCTCTGAATACCAGATTGCGTGGTGATAGAAGAGCCCAAGGGAAGAATGCAGATCGTTTAGAGGAAAGCAGATGACTACATTATCAACCCTAATAAATATAGCGGGAAGTTCTACACCGAACAATTAGGTGTGATTAACGAAGTGGATGGAATTCGCAACGACGGTGCGACTAGACATCTGGTCAATGGTTTGCCTACTTGCCACGTTCAGATGTATCACTGGGAGCGAAGCGAGGCGTGTCTTAGAAGAAATACACTTTTACGATGGCGATGGGCAGGCCGGAATCTGTAAAAGGAAAGAGGGGCCACTATTATTGTTAGAAGGCCCAAAGAATAAAACGAATTATCGACATTTCCTTTCAGTTGGAATCGGTTGTACAATGGATTGTTCACACTATGCATTCCACAAATTGAAGATTCCCACAGAAACCTGTTCCTGTTACGGATATCTACCAAGTGACCCACTTCTGTGCTGACCCTTTGGAGGTAACCAGCTAGAAGTCGTCTAGTAATTTAAGTATCTGGGCAGCTATATTAGCGCCCATGAGATCGAAGATGAGGTCACGAACGGTATAGCGAAAGCTCGGCGTGCTTTTGCCAATCTCCGCTACAGGTGGTGCCGATGTGACATCAATCTCGCTCGGAAGGACAGAGTTTAAAATGCAGCCGTCCGTTCAACCCTCCTGTACGGTTGTGAAACCTGGCCCATTGGATCAGCCGACATAAAGAGGCTAGTAAAGTTCAATCATCAGTGTCTTCGCAGCTTAGCTCATGACTTGTGATAGCACTGCGTGAGCAATGAGTGTGTTTGGCATCGTGTATTTGGCGCAGGAAGAACGAGTAAACAGCTCAGAACCATTGTATAACGCACCAGTCTCCGATGGCCAGGCCACGTGTTGCGCATGCCAGCAAACCGACTCCCATCGTGCGTTGTATGAATGTCCGGGGTCTGAATGGAAGAAGAGGGGTGGCCAGGCGGTGACCGGATCATGAGGAATGAAGTCCCTCACTTCGAACTTGGTGTCGGTTGGCGTTTCCCGACTGCTTGGTTGGGGTACTAAGGATGATGAACACATTTGGTTGGATACACTAGCTGACAAGGCGTGTAGCCGATCTCATTGGCGTGTGCTGTGAATCTCTCTGTTCTTCCCCTTCCATTTAGCTTTTCCCTCCAACAACCATCTCAAGCCAATACACAATATGATATTAGGGTGGTTACTTTTTTCTAGCCTGGTCTATCAGATCGACAGATGTAATTAAGGTTGCAACGTTCGGTCATCGCAGCCTTCGCGGTTTAGCACATATCAGGTGAAAACACAATGTGAGCAACGAGTGTGTTCGGAGTCGTGTATTTAATGCATGAAAAGCGAGTGAAACGATCAACACCGTTATTTCTCAAACCGGGTTCCAATGGCTAGGCCACGTGTTGCGTATGCAAGCAAATGAACTCCCGCGACGTGCGCTGTTTCCACGAGCGAGATGTGTATGGAAGAACAGGATGGCAGGCCACGTGATGACTTAGTCAAGAGGAATGAGGTCCCACATTTCGAAGTTGGCGTCGGGTGGTGTCCAACGATCGCCTGGCTGAAGTCCCACTAATGATGAACACGCTTGGTTGGATAACTAGTTGGCATGGCAAGGAGCCAATTTTAATGGCATTTGTGTTTTGGCACCCCTTACGCTTGGCTTCGCCGTACAGCTATGATCCCAAACTCCATGCAAAATGTGAAACTTAATAGTATATTTTTTGGTTTTGTATGCTGTGCGGTTTAATATCCCATTTATTTTCATATAGCTTATTTTTTGTATTGCGACACAACAACTGAGGACTTTCCCACATTCAGCTAACGTGTAATCATGACGATGATAGCAGTGCGCTCAGAGACAGCCGGGAGCTTTCTGCTGAATTTCAAGTTTCACTGGACTATCGGACATCCAGTGAAGGTACGGTGACGACGAGTAGTGCCGCAAGCAAAAGCTCACCGGCCGTGCATGAAAGCAAAAACTCTATTACCCTGGAGCTCAGTGACATTAGGACGAGAAAGACAAAATTTGGTACGAAAAGCAACTTGGTAGACTTGCCTGACCAAGGGATGGGATAATTTCACAATAGCCAGTCGAAGGAGACACATGGTACGCATCCCGGTAGTTCGTGGAAAAACGACATAGTAGGAAGGTATGGTCAAGTTCGACGCAGGTATTTCAGAATAAAGGATTGAACAACAAAGCCTGTAATTTATGGCAACATGATCTGTTTGAGTCTGTCGCTGACCAGCTATAGGGAGACGCCAAGTGGCACTTTGGCGCATACTGCGCCCAAAAGCGGTGCGACTAAGAAGCAGCCGATGTTCAGCCCACAGTTTTAACAGACGTTTACCACTGTCCATCCGGTCGGAGTCAACATTTAACACCTTGCCGACCTTCTGAAGACTTCAGACGACCTTCTAGTGCAATCAAGACTCCAGGCCCGTAGGCTTAAGAATCACAAGCCGGCCTTGTAATCCGAAAGCGCGGGTTCCAGCCTGCGTAGGGGACCGGGCGACCCACGCAGTATCCTTAGCCAAAGTGCGACTGGTGGTGGGAGTTGCGCGGTAGCGAAGCATCGATACTGCGTACCGAAATACCGCTGATACTTGCAACAACGATATAAAAACTGGGAACAATGCGAAGCAGCCTGTTCAGCATGTGATATGTGTCCATGACAGCTTCAGAGCTGCGGACGGTGAGGGTATAATCGGAACTAACAAAGAAATATCGGTTAGCATTACTTTGTGAATCAACTCTAGTTGATTTCGTCATACAGGTTATACACAAACGGATGCTCATGGAAACCTGACCAACTAGCGATGACAAGTTAGGAGCTCCGGATGATGCCAGTCAGACAAGTGGTTCCCACAACAGTGGCCGGGGATGCCTGTAACCAATAGCGAGAGGACAAGTTAAGCGCAATTAATTAAGCAACCACGTGAGGGTCATTGAGCCTAAGTTTGGAAACGCAAAATCTGTCAATACCCAGCGTGCCCAAGATGTGTGCGAGTGCAGCCTGTTAGCCTATTTGTTTTAAAATACGAAAGTGGAAGGCCAAAATGAAAACGGGACAGCATAACCTCATAAAAGGCTGTTACCGACAGGCGTCTAGCGGATGATGTAAAAGGATGACTGCAGATGGCATAGCTTCAGTGGTAACGTGACTGCTGTAAATTAGGCTGTGAAATATGGAAGTTAGGTAGTGTGAATCGCGAATGGATCCGGAGAAACAGGTGAAAAAGTACTAAAGAAGACATAAGCAGTGGCGTGTTTGCGTTTATCCGTAATGATGTAAAGAGTAGACAAGGCAAACATTGAAAATCTGTGCGACGGTCGATGCAAGATGTGGTTGAAATTTATGAAGTAGTCATGGTTGTAAGTGGACTGAGATACTGTCAGGGCGTCCAAATCTAGGGTCTTCAAACAAGGCCTTAGACTCAAAAGCTTGTTCGCAAGGCAGCGAACTGGTTTCAAATAAATAGACACCATTCTAATTCCAAACCCCAACCTGGAGGACTAGGAGACTAGATTTGTTTGACCTATAACCATTGACTAACCTGGCAGGATTAGCTCTCAATTGGTATGGAGGCACCATCCAATATGCCTCAATGGGGATAACAGGTAAATAAACCGGCGCACGGAGATAAGGGCCGGTGCCGTTACGACGCACATGGCAATTTGTAATTTCGATTACGTAGGAGTCCAAGGCAAATGAATGAATCATCCGACTGAAGCGATAACATGCCAAATAAGGAATATTTGAGTGGAAATGCGTCTAGGGTAGCAGTCTTCCTTGAATGATCTAAGATGATATTAAGGGTGGCTGAATTCAACTGGTTAATCAATAGGTTAAGGGAAACAAGATCTGCATGAAGAGTTTTGAGATTAGCTAAGGTCAGAGAAAGTAAAACCTCCCAAGAAAACTCAGTAATTCAATTGGAAAACAAGCGGAGCCAATGGTGTACAAATGAAAAAGCAAGTGATTTTAGGAACTTTCGCTACAGGAACGTTCGCGTCCATACGACGTGTGCACCAACCTTCCCATTGGATAGCGGGATTGATCTACCAATCAGGACAGCTGACCTACAGTATGTTTCAAAAGTGTGGTCCGATATTCCTCAGATGCTCGTTGAACCACGTGCAATGTAAATGGCGGACGCGTGCGATGTCCCTTCTCCCTCCCCCTAAAAAAGAGCAAACTGAAAAAATTTCAAAAACTGAGTGGTAAAATAGACAAAAATGCAATTTTGTTGCTCTTGTCATATTATTCATATTGTTTATCTATTCAGCCATGATTCCGATGGCACAATATCCGTACCACAGATTGTGTATAATATATAACATATATGAACCATGTGCACGCTTCACGGTGGCACGGGAGCGCTTTAAAGTGCCAACTGTTCAATGGTAGATGTCAGTCTGTCAAAATTTCGCTCACCGTCACATGGGTATGGTCTGCTTGTCCATGCATTCCCAGAATCGCAGTACCGAGGATGCAGGCCTGCTGACTCGGAATTCAGCCATCAGTGCAATCCGTCATATCCCAGTGACCAGGGGAGTGAGATTTTGGCAGACCGACATCTACCATTGGACCATTGGCAATGTAGTGCGCCAGAGTGCCACAGGGAAAGCGAGCATCTGGTTCAAGGAGCAACTGAGGAACATCGGACCAGTCCCTTGAAACATACAGGGTGACCACAAAGTCCCCGGACACTCCACGTTTAATCATATACCTACGTAAAGCAGTGCATAAATGTAAAAAGTTGTAAATGATAGTTGTCTAGGAAAAGAAGGGCTATTTGTTGATCAATGAAATTCATTAAAACATTGTGTTAGCCTATAATCACACTGTCATGGATCCAATGTGGCTGTGTGTTCCCTGTCATTCTCAACACATAGGCGAATGCGTCTCCAAGTGCGTGCAGAGATGCGTTGCAGAACATCAGGGGAAAATTGAGTTGAATGAAGCACGGATTGCAGCTTTAAGTTTTTCTGTGTTGTTGTAACGTGTTTTTCTGATATCTTCGTTAATCATGATCCAGAAAGCATTGTCCCATGATGAGAGGTGAGGACTGCGAGCTGACCATTGATGCGGTGATAAATGTCCAATCCACCGGCCAGGGAAATTCTCATGCAGGAATCGGCGCACCGAGATAGCAACGTGTGCAAGAACACCATCTTGCTGCAGAATGGCTACATGCATGTTCCCAGTTGAAACCGATTGTGGAATGAACCAAGTCTCCAACATTTCCCGGTAGGTGAACTGATTCAATGAGATTTCGAAAAAAATGGCCCAATAATTTTGGTGGCTGACATAGCCGCTCACATCATGGTGTGCGGTGGGTTGTGAGCGATTTCTTCAGCGTAGCATGGGTTAATCTTGCTCCAAATGTAAACATTTCGTGATTGTGAGCTGAGACAAACAGTACATTCATCACTAAAAAAGACATTGTGATGACTGATTTTTGTGGGGAGTTCCTGAAGAAGGTTTTGGCACGCTTCCATTCGAATATGTCGATCAATATCAGAAAGTTCACTGGCCTGCATTGACTTGAATGCTGACATGCCTAGGTTAGTTGTGAGTGGAATATGCCATTTAGCAGACCGCTTACGAGTCGATTTCTTTAGAGAATTGACTGCTGAATGATTTTCACGTGCTCAATTCGGGAGGCAGGGCGTCCAGAGCGAGGGACATCCAGCACAAATCCATATGCAAATGTTTTCTTCTCCCATGCCAATAATGTCCTTTTTTGGTGCAGGCATCTTGAAACGCTCCTGAAATTTGGTGGAAACGTCAGTCATTGTTCTTTTTTCCAGCACTCGATCATGTACCCAAACAGCAGCTGAGTTTTGCTTCAATGGTGTAGGGACTTGGGTCGGTCATTTTTCCAATGTATGCCTGAAAATAGAAATTCAAAAGTATCGTGCATTATGCTATGAATATTATGATAAATGTGCAAATATTAAACAATAAATGGTATTGCAAAAATCATCAGTTGTGAACAATGACCAGGGAATTCGTGGCCACCCTGTACTGTAGATGTTCTGATACATGAACCGCTCTCGGCAGACTGAGATAAATGAGCGTTGATTTCACACTACTTGTATCCGCTCGGTAGCATGTTCTGCAACACGCTTTTCTGATTTCTGATTTTCGACAAGGATTTGGAGTTAGCAGAGAACGAGATCAGTTCAACCGGAATCGCAGACAGAAATAGATCATAACAAATAGCGACGGACAAATGTGGCAATGAAATGAATTTCTCTGCAGCACAATTTCAAATGATGCTACGGCAACATCAAGCACAAATGAAGCCGATTGAAAGCTTGATGCAGCGGCTAGGCCTGCAGTCTACAGAAACAGCTTCGCGGGACACGCAGGCAAGTTCCATTGATCTCTCCAATTCCATCACTGTACTCAATCATGATCCTGATTACGGAAGCACTTTCGATGCGCGGGTCAGACGCTGGGAGGGTACGTTTAAAACGGATTTCAACCGTCAGGAAGACTCCTAGAAAGTGCGACTGCTGTTCCGTAAACTTGGCATGAATGAACATTCAAGATTCGTTTATCACATACTGCCAAAACAGCTGAAAAATTTCAGCGTTGCCGAAGTAATGTCACAACTCAGCGAAATTTTCGGTGAGTCGTTACCATAATTCTGCATTCGCCATCAATGTCTGAAAATCGTCAAGCGGGATACAAACGACTATGGGGTGTTGACAAACATGGTCAACCGTGAGTGCGAACGCTTCAAGCTGCGCTCTTTGACAGACGACCAATTCAAGTGTCTCATATTTCTCGGTGCCTTACAGTCCACGCAGGATGCCGAGATCGGCACAAGACTACACTCCAAATTGGACCGAGGCTCAGAAACGATCGAGTGCAAACTACTGACGACTTCGAAACGACATCGCCATGGTCGAGAATCCTTCCGCACAACCGCGAAATGTCCATGCTGTGACAGGCTTCAAGTGAAACAGGCCTGACAGTTCCGCTCAGAAGTCACATAACAGACCGCCTACTACTTGTTGGTCATGCGGTGAGTGACAGGTATCCCGATTTTGTCCATTCAAAAAAACATATTTGCCAAAAGTGCTATAAACGAGACCACAAGGAAGAATAGTGTAAGCAGTTTCGACCAGTGAACAAAAAACCGTTCCGCCCCAAAAAGGTGAAAAATATCGTTTCATAAGCCCAGCCAGCCGTTTCCGCTTTCCAGAATGAATTCAAACCTTGCAGGCGCTTCATTACCATAAGTATTAATGAGATTTCTTCGAAGCTGCAGTTTGACACAGCCTCCGATATAATCATCATTTCTAAGGACACTTAAAATCACATCAAGAGGCTGGAGGTTGCTGCCTCGGACAAAGCGGCTCACAACGCATTTGGAGGGGTGCTGAATCTGGTTGGGAAAATCACCTGCAAAATCGCTTTTGACGGAGTGGAAAAGGCCAGAACATGCTAGCTGACGGATCGACCGCATCTAAACCTCCTCGGAATCGACTGGATCTAGAGGTTAGGACACTTTGATATCTTTCTGAACCAGATTTGTAACCGTCATACGCTGAAGCCTCACGCACTGAACGTAGTATCGCTAGCAGAAGTGATGAGAAAAAACCTCTGCAAGCCTTCCTGTACAGTTTGACCAGCTCCCGAATATTCGCACGGCGAAAAGGACAGGAAAATGGAACAAGGGTTCAAGCGAAAGCAAGGAGCAAAGCAACATCCATTCAATCCCGTTCAGCGCTCGCACGCGACTATCGAAAAAGCCATGTAACATAGACTTCAGACGAGGTAAAATGTAAACGTGGAGACCCCATTTACGATGTTCCCGTTGGATGGCAAAGCTGGGTCCACCAAGCTAATCAGTTACGTCAAACACCGTGCCGATCCGAAATGAAGCCAGCGAAGCTGCATTTCGACTTCCTAATGGATCATTTCAACTTACTGAAACCAGAAAGGGAGGGCCACAGTCAATCGAACGACGCAACAGATAGTCCACAACCAACTCCCAAGACACTTAAACCCAAGCGGTGGACGGACAGTCGGGGAACACCGTCTACAAGACTGCGGGTCAACGCAAGGTTATCATCCGACACCGCGGCCGCGATCTCAAGAGGGGAGATGTCAGGGAAAGTAAAACCTCCGAGGAAAACTCAGTAATTCAATGGGAAAACAAGCATAGCCAATGGTGCACAATCGAAACGCCAAAATCCTTCTACTCAAAGTAATACAAATTCGCCCTTACGGATTCCATAAATGCTGTGTCGATTCATAGCTGCCGTAATCGGGAAGTCCTGACGATGGAAGGCCAACCGCTGTCATCTGCATGGCAGGTGCCTGCATGACAGTGGAGGATGGGTCGGGCTATATCGCAGTTAGCTTACAATTCGTGATGGTCGACTGCCGTCCTCCATGGCTCAGTTGCATAAGCTGCGGGCTGGTTGGCACAAGCCACTAGCAGTCATGGGTTCGACCCCTAGTAGAGGACCGAAGGAAGCGCACCACTCACGAGCCCCAACAGCGCGAAACGGCCTTCGGGTGTTCTTCAGGATAGGTAGGTGACTTACCTGAATTACCGGCTGACTGCGACGAACAAAAATCTTCGTACATTCGCTCAGCATTGCGACACCACCATATATGCTGTCCATAGGATTTTGAAGGAAAGGAAATTCCGGAAGTATAGCACCCGTCAAGCGCAGGTTTTAAGCCCATGTGATTCGGAGAGGTGGCATGATTTTGGCCGCTGGTTTTTGAGTGCCATGGACATCGATTCAATTCTT